GTAAGAGAATGAATTAAGAGGTCCCCCGGGGGTGCCTGGGTGGCTCAGTCAGTTGAGCGTCCAACTTCAGCTCAGGTCACAATCTCACAGTTCGTGGGTTTGAGCCCCACGTCAGGTGTCGGACTCTGTGCTGACAGCTTAGAGCCTGGAGCCTGCTTCGAATTCTGTGTCTCCCTCTCTCTCTGTTCCTCCCCTGCTCATGCTCTGTCTCTCTCACTCCTTCAAAAATAAATAAAAACATTAAAAAAAATTTTTTTAAGAGGTCCCCTATGCTGAAAGGCCCGTGTAGCAGGTGAGGTCACATCCTCCATGGTTTCTACAAATCATCTAATGAAGAAGATATATTCTAAGTACCTATGGAAGATTTAGTTAGCTAAATGGGTTTTCCTCTGGATAAATCATCACTTTAATTCAGAAACCAATTATCCTTGGTGTCTCATATACCTCCTCCTTCCTGATTTTGTTTTTGGCATATGTTGTTCTTTGTCTTCGTGCCAATTCTGATTCTTCCTTTTCTCAAATTTGGTTCGAACTTTGTTTCTGGAAAACATTCCCATCTTAAACCCTTTTGCGGATCCTTCCATTGCTCTGGACTCCCAAATATAAGGGGGCAACATTGTACTTGCTTGTACTTATGGAAACTGTCATTTCACTTCTAACCAGATCCTAAGTAAGCACTCCCCCCCCCACCACACACACATGCAGAGCACACAGAAAAGTACCCAGAGAGAATGGTTGGGCTACAGAAGACTGTGGTACTTACCAAGTGATGCAGGAACTCCAACGTCATTATTCTTGCTTCTCAACTCTGCCAGAGGACATTCTTCATCTCATTAAGAACACTGTTGTCAGTACCCCTAAAAACCAGAAACCTCTCCCAGCAGATGACAAATCATGATAGTTCTGTGGCAAACTTTCGTGACATTGCTACAAGATTCAAAAAAGCAAATGATGCGATTCCCAAAGGAGGGAATGAACAATGAACACCTTCCATGCTTCCTGATGCCCTTAGCCAATATAACCAGGAAGGCACCTGTCTCTCATATGCTCCTTCTGAGGACAATGGCCAAATTTGGTTTTCTTGCCACGATCTTATTTCTGATCAATCATTCCCAACATTTTATACGCTATTCACTATTTAGAAACAAAAGGTTTTGGAGAGTTTTAGGAAAGTGACAGGACAATCAATAAAAGTAATGTTTTTTTCCATTGATGTGACCTACATAATATTTTTTTTTTAAAGTAAGCTCTACACCCAACATGGGGCTTGAACTCATGACCCTGAGAGTTGCATGCTCTACTGACTGCGCCAGCCAGGCACTCCCATAATGATTTTAAAAAGATAACCCTCCAGCACATAAAATATCTGCACCGCACTACAGCATACACGTCCCGTGAGTTCCTGTTTTGACAGCTTTTACATCAATTTGAGTTAGATATTTTCTAGAAAAAAATTTTTTCAGAAGCCAAGTATTCAGAATAGTTGTTTCAAGACTTTTCATGGACTTAATACTGTATCCTTCAGAGCCGTGGCCTGCTATGGTCCATACCCTTCCATTTTGAGTGAATAACAGGAACAACGCATTTATGTTTCTTAACTGTGTCCTGATAAAGGTTCAGCAGTTCCCAGTTACACATTACACTACTTTCACGTAAGAAAATTAGCACAGCTGGATTCATGCAGTCTTTATTAATTTGACAAACACAGGAAAACCTGCAATCTATCAAAATTATATCTCACCAAGAATCTGAAAGGTACTTTAAAAAAGACGTATTCACAGTCTGTCTGAATCATGTACAAAGCAGTGCCTGTAGAAGCAAAAGCGAGAAGACAAACATGTCAACGTTCCCGCTGAAGCCTGCAACCGGCACCTCCAATCCCGCGGTGAACAATCCTGTACTACTTTCTACAGCTGATTGATTTCGAAGCTGCCCTTTTGCAACGATTATTTATTTTCAAAGGAAAACTGCTTCCTGGGAAATCTTTCCTGCTACGCACACCAGGCTCAAGTGCTAACACCACGTTCCAGGGCCCAGGGTGGACCCAGCTACTTCCTGAGGGCACTGTTGCAGGCATCCAAGGCCCTGGTAAACATTCAAAGAAAGGGTTTGTTTCAGCACCAGGCTGATTTTTAATGCACGCATCTGAGGTGTTTCCTGCCAGAGGAGAGGATGGTTCAGATGATGCCATCCAGAGGATTCAGGAGGTGAGCATGACGACACCCTTGTTAGTACACTGCTCAGCAATTTCACTGAAGCCTGTGAAGAGTTGAAACCATTGTTTTTAATCTCCTGTGTTTGGGGGGCATTTAAAGAGAAGCAAGAAAATCGTTAAGGATCACTTCTGGTCTCAAACTCATGATGATGATACAGTTTCATCCCAGGGCAAGACCAAATGTCCAGTTTTCAAGTTCCCTTTGTAGAGTCAGCTTTGTGGACACCCCCGGAGGTGAGGAGAATGGTGGGTCAGGCCGTTATAGACTATCCAAAAGCAGATAGAGGAAAAGGAGTACTTCATTGAAAGGGTTGGTTTCTGGAAGAATCAAGATCACCTTTATAACATCAATTTTATAAGCCCTCAGTGATGGTAACCATAAGAAGGGGTTACTGACAAGTACCCAATATTTTAGAGAAGTTCAAGATGGCATGTATCAGGAAACAGGAAACTATAGATGTATTCTGAGGATAGGTCTTACTCATCTTCACATATTTAGACTCGAGCACCATGCCAGGAACATGGAAGACACTGAATAAATGTTTTCATAGTGGCCTCTGAGCTCTTTCTCTTCTAGGGCTAGATCATGAATGGGGCAAATGTGCAAGGCCAGGCCCTGGAGGTCAGGCTTCCTCGAGACGCTGACCCTGGAAGATCTTATGGGGGGGGCTTAACCTTTGTCTCATATTCTACAAATTATGACCAGGATGACTATATAGTTTTCTGAGGCCAACTAAAGGCCAAGTACTAAACTTACTGTATGGACACTGGTTATGGAAGAAGGGTTTTTAAAAACAAGAGACACTTTAAAAAGTGAGGATTCAAGAACTCAAAAGTGAAAAGCCCATGCTTCTGTAGCAAAATCAATAAATCATTCACTTATGATTGTTTTCTTTCAAGTTGCTTAGAAAGCTTTTTTTTCTAATCAAGAAATTTAGTCATTTACAGTGAGAGCGGTGATCCTAGGACCGACCATACACTAACCTCGTGAGAATCAAGAACAGGAAAACACGCTCTTCCTCTTTGAAAAAAGGTCCGTCATCTTCCAAATATGGTTGGTATGCCCACAGGCTAGTTTGTAGCAACCTTCTGTATGTACACACTCTTGGTTCCGTAGGCCAGTCAGACCCAGACATTAGTGGTCACTCTTCTTCCTCCTCTTCATTAAGCAGGTTTGCCTGGGCTGATCCTGCTTTGTTTGGCCAGCTCCACAGCCACCCCTGCCCTGTGTGAGGGCACATCCTCAGTGGACTTGCTACTGTTTTCCCTGGTGATAATCTAGTTTTCATGGTGGAAGACTAGCATTTTGACATTTCAAAAACAACTGAATTGACCCTAAGAAGAAAGTTCAAAGTTCTGTATCTGAGATTGGCGATTTAAAGAAAAGAGTTCTATGCTGAGCTGTGGTCCATCCTGCAGAAAGCGAGATTTATTGCCATCTTTCTACATAGGACAGTGATACAAAGGATGGATTAAATCACACACACCCACACCCACATACCCTCTTCTGGGATAAAACCTTTCATGAAAGATACGGTACTTTTGGGACCTTCGCACTAATAACTAGTCTAGATCAGGGCTCCCTCAAGACTGCCTCAAATCATGAACATATTCAGGTGGCTTTGCTGTAGTGGTTCAATCATGTGTCTTTCTAGAAGTTAATACCCACATTGCTATATATGAGGAAAAAGAATCCTGGAAAAAAGGGGCTAAGCAAAGAGATGCGAGAACCTATTTTAAGCCCCACTCTTTCTGTGCATTGACTTGTTTTTCCTGCATTTCTCAACTACCTAATATGAGCCAGTTTTTACTTACAACTCCAGTTATACTCCAACAGCACACTACTGCTAAATTTAGTTTCTTATATAAAAAAAATATGCTGTGACAGAAAACAACTATTCTAAACTCCAAGGACGGGGTACCTGGGTGGCTCAGTTGGTTGAGCATCCAACTTCAGCTCAGGTCATGATCTCGCGTTCATGGGTTCGAGCCCTGCATCGGGCTCTGTGCTGACAGCTCAGAGCCTGGAGCCTGCTTCGGATTCCGTGTGTGTGTGTGTGTGTCTCTCTCTGCCCCTCCCCAGCTGGTGCTCTATGTCTCTCAAAAAAATAAAATAAAACATTAAAAAACAAAAACAAAAACAACCTCCAAAGGGAACTGCAAACTAGATCATATGATAGGCTGGAGAGAAAGCAGGAACAGGAAGAAAAGCTGGCCTTTCTTCAGCCACAGGGGGAGACTAAATGTCTCACAAACGCTTATAATCTGATCACTGTGGCTAAAGGTGGTCAGTGGTAAAAGAAGGGCTATGCCCAGCAAAGCTCCACTTAAAGGTGTCATGTGCCCACAGGCTGATGGCTCCGTTTATGTGCACTGTCCAGCTGAACTGCGCAGGACCTCAACTCCACTGCCCACTTCAAAGGTACAAAGGTACACTGAAATGAGGGGTAAGGCAGAAGGGAAAGCACAAAACACCCAATGTGAGGTTCCTGAGGAATAACTTGGTTCTCCTCCTTAAGATCTGCCCACGGGACATTAACTCATTTTGTCCCATTGGCTGTTAGTGGTCCCATCTATTCTCTTCTCGGCATCTGGTTCGCCTCCTGACCCTTGGTTCTCCCGTGGTTCACCGAGTAAAATCATGGCTTTCTCCAAATTCTTACTTTGTACTGATACAACTGACTTTATAATCCACCAGCTTTTGGCTATTGGTTTAAATTCTGACCTAGTGTCAGAGACAATGAATGGGTTGTAGTAAAAAAAAAAGAAAAAACAGGACAGGAAGTGCTTCACCAGCCATTTTACTCTTCTTTAATTCTACTGTCTTTGGGCACACATTGTATTTGCTACTGAAGAAATTATGACAGTGAGGCTGACAGCACTGATTCATTAACACATTCTTTGCACCACACAAAGAGTAAAATCCTAGAATAACCGGATCATCTGCTACCACAACAGAGCTGTCTCATTTGCTGTAGAAGAGAATGCTTATGGGGAGTCAGGGAGAGATGGGAACAATGGAAGCATCCAGGGCAAGTAAACCTACAAGTATGTCTAAAAATAAAGAATTTGGTGGAAAACCCAGAATTCACCTAAGGCTGACAGGAAACCGTTTAGATATAGTTCCATTCTTTCCAGAAATTACTGAATTTGGAACCTGAGGTTAAGACTTTTAGGATAAAGCAAGTAAGTTCAGACTGGCCATGGGAAGAAATGCAACCATAGATGAGTTTCAGTGCTTGAAAACAAAAATTTTCAAAATCAACCTACATATCTGACTTGACTCAAGGTGAAAAAAAAAAAGTCTTATTTAAAAATGATAAGTCTGCAGCAGAAAGGTTTGAAAGTGAAAGTTAGAGCCCCTTTTCAAAAACCTTTTCGTGTTGCTGCTGGTGCCTGCTCTCCTTACAGTACCTCCTGAAAAGGTTCAGAGTTCAATACAGGTTTATTAGGTTGATCTTCAACATGTAGTTTAAGATGAAGAGTCCTGTTTGGTTTAAACCGTGTCATTTAACTTCTCGGTAATGGGAGTCCTGAGAGTCTGCAGTGTTGGTAAAATCCACCTGTGACCAAGGGTCAAATTGCTGGTGGGAGCACAGCAACTTCTTGGTCCGTCCCTCCTCCTCATCCTTGTCCCTCAAATCTGGTAGTTTTTGCACCGAGGGACTCAGTCCGTCACGATGACGTGTGTTCAAAACCATTTTCTGTAGACATCTTCTTCCAGTGCCCAATGGTACAGGTGGTCAGGAAGACTTGGAAGGAAGCTGCAAAAGTCCAGCTGGGAATCTTGCCTTTGTTAGATGTGGACACAGTAAAATCATCTTTGTCCTCCCCAGGTTGAATTATAGTCAAAGGAGAAAAATCCATGGGATTCTAATTGCAAATATACTATATATAAAATTGATGGAATGCTAACTGGTCCATAAAGGGCTGTACAAGATAATCTGTGGCAAAGTAGAAAACAAGCCCAAAGGTGATAGAGATCGGAAGAGCTGGCAGAGCTTTCTTGAAAATGGCGAGGAGTAATAATGTAAGGCACAGACCCTGTGGACAAGAGGGGAGAGACACAAACTCAGGCAAAATTAGGAAAGTATTTCATGCAAAAACAACCCAATCACAAGTATTTAGTTCACTGAATATTATCCTTTGAGCTTAAATTTTAGGGCAATTTTTTCGTTACGTTTGGAAACAACATTTATTTTCCTTTACAATACAGAGTTCATTATGCACACACTTAATTCTAGGTAAGGAATAGAATCTAAAAATAAAACTTTTTTAAAAATTAAATAATACTGAAATTTCTACGTAAAATATTGAGTTGGCTACTGTGAGTTTAGTTTGGCTGACTAAAGTCCTGGAGGCGAGAAGCATCCTTTATGTTGTACGGGGGCAAAGAGATGCTCACAGAATAAACCAATACAAGTTCATGAAGCATATACAAGTTTCTCTATCTGAAAGTAGAGCGTTCCTATGAAGCCTTTTGTAAGCCAAAACAGCATAAAGCGAAGCATATCCCCACTTCCTGAAAGTTCCAATTATGCCACTTTTTTTAATGAAAGACCTTCATTAGTATGATAACAGCCTTATTGTAAAAGCAAAAATCTTCCTTGGATTTCTTTCTGTTATCGAAAACAGCAAAGTGGTGTAATATGCACCTTCAGAAAGCAGGAGAACACCTGTGTTGCTTTCTTGTAAACACAGAGCAGCCATATAATATTGTCCGTTTTTTTACCCTAACTACTAAGACAATGTCTGAAAACTGAGCATTTCAAGTTTATCCAAAATAAGTCATTTTCCTCTTAAAAGATACAACACATCCAGAAAAGTAAATAAAAATAAAGAAAAATAAAACACATGAAAATTCTAACTGTTTATAATGATCATGATAAACCACAGAGGTCAGCATAAAATAAACTCATAAGTAATGGCTCTCAACTCACCTCTCATCTAACTTCATGGACACATATCAGACATCACATCTTTAGCAAAAATACCAGTAAGAAATACCTTAAGAGTTACTTATAGTTTTGAAAGCGTCGGGGTTCATGTTGTGGTGCTACAAGCAAGACCTATGTGGCATCGTGCACTGTGTTAGCTTTTCTTGCCTCAGACTTGCTGCCCCCGGAATACTGCCTGCTGCAGGTTGTGGCATTAAAGGCAAAACCACCACCAGACTCAGGAACAAAGTGAGGATGAGTACCCCTTTAAGACTGATCTAACACAGCTATTTTCCTACATGTCTACACTGCCAGGCTTAAAGCAGCTGTTCCCAATCAGAGGTGCTTATCAGAACTTTCCGGGGAATTAAAAAAACCCACACAATTAAAACATTAAATATCTCAGGGCAGGGATGCACAATTTTAATGGGTAATTTTAATGGGTGGCCAGGTGGCAAACTATTTAGTGAGGTTCAGTTAATTTGTTTTTAAAAAGCTCTCCAGGTGAATGGCACACTCAGCCCAGCTAGGGTGAAAACAGATTGCCTTAGGGCCACTTGGGTGGCTCAGTCCATTAAGTGTCCTACTCTTGGTTTCAGCTCAGGTCATGATCTCGTGGTCTCATGGTTTTGAGCCCCGCATTGGGCTCTGTGCTGGCAGCGCGGAGCCTTTTTGGGATTCTCTCTCTTCCTCTCTCTCTGCCCCTCTCCCACTTGTGCTGTCTCTGTGTCTCTCAAAATAAATAAATAAACTTTAAAAAACAAAAAATAAAACAGGCTACCTTAAAGGGACAGCATAATCAGAGTTCTGAGGTGAAGATTTCAGACATGTTTTTATTAGTGTATACTTACAATTAATATGGCTACAAAACAGGCTATGGTTGTGTTCCAGTCTCCACTGGCTGTTGCAGAAGCTTTACCAACCAGAACACTGTAGAAAATGAAGTCTCCTAATCCAAGTTTTACTCCCCCTAAAAAGGAAAGATTATGAATATAAATGTTTGTTACTTTTTGCCATCAATTCAAAAGTGTCACTGCCATATTCCATCCTGTATTGAATGAGAAAGTAGTAAAGGACATATAAATTTTGGCTTTAGCTAGGTTTTCTTTCTTTTTTGTTTTCCTCCAATATGAGTTTCAGATTCTGTATGACTTGCTCTGGGGTCTTCAACATTGAGATGCTGTTGTTACATATAACAAGGAACAATAAATAACAGCAGTCATCTATTGACTGCCTGGTTTACACCTGGCACTTGTTCTAACAAATCTTCACAAGAACCCCTATAATTTACTTCATAAAATTCACCCATTGTTCAGTTATTGTAAAAGATGTAGAGTTGTCCAACCATCACCACAATCCACATTTCCATCACCCTAGGCCTTAAGCAACACTGATGTCTTCTCTCTCTATAAGTTTGGCTTTTCGAGACACTTCATAAAATGGACACGTAACACTATGTAGTCTTTGTGACTGGCTTCTTTCACGTAATGTATTTTCGAGGTTTATCCATGAAATTGCACTTGTCTGCACTTTCTTTTTACTGGTCAGTTTTCCACTGTGTGAATACACTAGTTGATGGACAATGGAACGTTTTCATTTTGGGGCTATTATGAATAATGGTGCTATGAACATCATGCTGTGACCAGGCGTACACATCTTTGTGTGGACATTGTTTTCATTTCCATTGGGTAGATTCCTACAAATGGGATTGCTGGGTTATATGGGAAGTTTATCTTTAGTTTTTTAAGAAACTGCCAAATTGTTTTCCATACTGGCTGCACCAGTTTACATTGCCACCAGCAAGACCTCAGGGTTCCAGTTTCTTTACTTCCTTCACCAACGCTTGATATTGGTAGCCTTTTTGATTATAGCCATTCTGAATAATGGTGTTGAGCAGAGTTTCATGTGTTTATTACCTCTTATATTTCTCCTTTGCTGAAATGTTTATCCAAAGCATGTCCATATTTTTTAAATGGGTAATCTCCTATTATTGAGTTGTAAGCATTCTACATATATATATCCTTAACACAAGTCTTGAATAGACTCGAAATGTGGTTTGTATAGCTTTTCTCACAGTCTGTGTCTTCTTTTCTTTTTCTTTTTATGTTTATTTATTTGAGAGGAGGAGAGAGAGAATGCCAAGCAGGCTCCACATTATCAGCACAGAGCCTGATGTAGGGCTGGATGCTTAACTGACTGATGCCACCCAGGCACCCCTCTTTTCCTTTTCTTAATGGTATCTTTAAAAAAAATTTTTTTTAATAGCAAAATATACAACTTAATGGCATTAAGTAAACTCACACTGTTGTACTACCATCCTCATCATCCATTCACAGAACTCTTTTCATCTTGCAAAACTAAAACTCTGTACGCATTAAACACAAACTCCTCCTCCTTTTCTCCCTCCATTCTCTGGCAACCATCATTCTATTTTCTGTCTCTAAGTTTCACTACTCTAGGTACTTCATATCATACAGTATTTGTCTTTTTGTGACTGGCTTACTTCACTTAGCATAATGTCCTCAAGTTCATCCATGTTATACAGCATGTTACAATGTCCTTCCTTTTTAAGGCTGAATAATATTCCGCTGTGTGTATACACATTTATACACTCATCCATCAGTGGACACTTGGATTGCTTCCACCTCATGGCTATTGTGGATAATGCTATGAAATTGGGTGTACAAATATTTCTCCTCTTAATGGTATCTTTTGAATGCAAGTTTTTAATTTTGGTGAAGTCCAATCTATCAATTTTTTCTTCTATGTATCAGTGTTGTATTGAAGAACTCTGCCCAACCCAAGGTCATAAGTTTTTCTCTTTCGTTTTCTTCTAGAAATTTATTTTAACCACTTAACATTTCAGTTTACGATCCATTTTGAGTTCATTTTTGATTGTGGGCATGATGGATGGATAGGGTGAGGCAGGAGTTTCCACTCATTCTTTTGCATGTGGATATCTAATTGTCCCAGCACCACTGGTTGAAAAGATTACATACCCTTTTCCTGCTGAATTATTTTAGCACCTTCGTAAAAAAAATTATTGACCATAAATGTAAGTATTTACATCTAGACTAGCAATTCTGTTCCACTGATTTATATGCCTCTCCTTGTGCCTGAACTGATTACTATGGCTAAAAATTTTTTTAAATGTTTATTTATTTTTGAAGGAGAGAGAATGATCATGAGCAGAGAAAAGGCAGAGAGAGGGGGACAGAGGATCCGAAGCAGGCTCTGTGCTGTCAGCAGAGAGCCAGATGCGGACTTGAACTCATGAACCATGAGACCATGACCTGAGCTGAAGTTGAACACTTACCCGACTGAACCACCCAGGTACCAAATTACTATGGTGTTACAGTAAGTTCTGAAATCACATAGTATAAATCCACCAATTTGTCCTTCTCTTTCAAAATTGTTTTGGGTATTCAAAATTCTTTACATTCCCATTTTTTTGAAATGTAGCTTGTAGACATTGACACGCTGATCCTAAAACTTACAAGAAATGCAATGGCTATAGGTTTTCTGTTATCCAACATTTTTTCCCTTCAAATTCTTTTCAAAAAAATATACAACTAAGTAAAGGCTAGGGACGCCTGAGTGCCTCAGTCGGTTAAGCATCTGACTTTGGCTCAGGTGATGATCTCATGGTTCAATGGTTCAAGCCCCACGTTGGGCTCTGTGCTGACAGCTCAGAGCCTAGAGCCTGTTTCAGATTTTGTGTCTCCCTCTGTCTCTGCCCCTCTCCCATTCATGCTCTGTCTCTCAAAAGTAAATAAAACGTTAAAAAAAAAAAAGTAAAGGCTAAAATATGGATTCAAAAGATATGTTTTAACTTGGGATCCATTATTCATCCATAAAGCTTTAAAAGTGGCTTTCATTTTTCTGTTAAGTAACTATTCCCAACTGAAGTTTGACCCTGGTTTTAACGTTCAGTTGCCTGGGTTAGACAAACCACTTCCAGGGGAGAGAGGCAGAGGGCCATGAGAAGTATAGTGTGTTCCACATGTGGGTGAGAAATAAGCAGAGGGCTGGTTAATAAGATATTACAGAGAAACCAGTGTTCTTGAGTTGTGGGAGCCAGAGTGAAGTCTTCCTTAGTGGAAAAGATAAACATATGACCCATGAAATCCAATGCTATGAATTACTGGGTCAGCTACCCTCTAACTTGCTAACCTTCCCAGACTGAAGAATATACACACCAGTTTCACATGTACAGAAGAGGCCAGTGCTACTATTTAAGTACTTGTATGATCCAGAGCAAGTTGATTAACTTCTTTTAATCCTCAAATTCCTCAGCTCTAAGATGGGGATTATGAGCTATTACATAGGGCTGTTATCAAGAATTAAAAATTAGGGGCACCTGGGTGACTCATTTATTTAAGTGTCTGACCTCAGCTCAGGTCACAATCTCACAGTTTGTGGTTTTGAGCCCCGTGTCAGGCTCTGTGCTGACAGCTCAGAACCTGGGGCCTGCTTCGGATTCTGTGTCTACCTTGCTCTCTGTTTCTCCCCTGCTTGTGCTCTGTCTCCCTCTCTCAAACATAAATAAACAAAAAGAAAAAAAAGGCCGGGGTGGGGATGCTTAGGTGGCTCAGTCGGTTAAGCATCTGACTTAGGCTCAGGTCATGATCTCATGGCTTGTGAGTTCAAGCCCCGTACTGGGCTCTGTGCTGACAGTTCAGAGCCTGGAGCCTGCTTTGGATTCTGTGTCCATGTCCCCATTTCCCTCCCTCTCTCTCTCTCTGTCTCTCTGCCCCTCTCCTGCTCACGTTCTCTCTCTCAAAAATAAACATTTAAAAAAATGAGTTAAAAAATAATACAGGAAACGTTCTTGGCACATATAAAGGCTAAAATATATAATAGCCTTAGAAAGACTTAGATTTCAATTTCAAATGTTAAATGCTATAAGAAACTAAAACTAAGTTCTTCAGAAAAAAAATGTTACAGAAATGAGATTTTTAAAATAATGCAGGGAAAAAATTTTGCAGTTATCTGAAAACAAATATGTATTTAGAATATTCAAAGAATCATTACAACTCAATAAAGAGGCAAATAAAAATGGTCAAAGAATCTGAATATAGTTCTCCAAAGAAAAGATAAAAATGGCCAATAAGCACACAAAAAATTACTCAATATCATTAGCCATTAGGGAAATGCAACTGAAAACCATAATGAGACACCACTTTATACCTACTCTAGATTATAATCAAAAAGATAATAAGTGTTGGTGAGGATGTGGAAAAATTGGGCATTCACACACTGCTGGTGGGAATGTAAAATACTATGGCTGCTTTGGAAAACAGTCTGGCAGTTTCTCAAAAGGTAAAATACAGAGTTACCATAGGACCCAGCAATTCTACTCCTGGGTATATACCCAAGAGAAATAAAAACATGTCCACACAAGAACTGGTACATGAATGTTCATAGCAACATTATGCATAACAGCCCCAAATGGAAACAACTCAGATGTCTATTATCTGATGAATGGATAATAAATGTGGTATATACATAAAATGTAATATTATTTGGCTACAAAAATAAATGAAGTACTGACACCACAACACAGATGAACTTTGAAAACATTGGCCTAAGTGAAAGAAACTAGTACAAAGGATAATATAGTGTAGGATTCCATTTATATGAAATGTCCAGGATGGGCAAATCTAAGATAGTATATTTATTGGTGTAGGGGGGACATGGGAGCTAATGAGTATAGACTTGCTTTCTGAGATGATGAAAATGTTCTAAAATTCACTTGTAGTGATGGTTGCACAGCTCTGTGAATACAGTAAAAATCACTGCATTGTGTATTTTAAGTGGGGGGGGGATGGGAGGGACTGGAGAGCTGGACAGCTGAGGATTGTGGGATTTCTTTTGGAAGTAATGAGACTGTTTTAAAATTAACCGTGGGGTGTCTGGCTGGCTCAGTTGGTAGAGCATGCAACTCCTGATGTTGGGCTTGTGAGTTCGAGCCCCATGTCAGGTACAGAGATTACTCAAAAATAAAGTCTTAAAAAAAAAAAAAAACAACCTGCCTATAATGTATTATTTTACCTTTTTACTACTAAAATCTCTTCTTCTACTTGAATAGTAAAATTCCTCTCCCTCACTTCCCCTGAGGTTACAGAAAAGAATCTGTAGACTCAAATTTCCACTCCTGAAAACAACAGGCTAATTTTACTACGTTGATAAATTTTAAGTCTACTGATTAGTAGAACACTTAGGATGAGCCTGCTACTGGCATGATGTTTGAGGGAAGTATATTCTGAAATTCACTAAAAGGAAGACCAACAGCCTTCACATGGGATAAATATATTTTAGGGGTGCCTGGAGCCTGCTTCAGATTCTGTGTCTCCTTCTCTCTCTCTGCCCCTCCCCCACCCATGCTGTCTCTCTCCGTTTCTCAAAAATAAATAAATGTTTAAAAAAAATTTTTTTTAATATTTTACATTTCTAATTAAAAAACTCTTCAGTTTTCGATTAAATGCTGGTTTTAAAAGGTTGTTCAGAGATGGTTACGTTATCGGATACTAAGATGATGAAAGAATGTCAATTATTAGTTTATAGTGGTCCCAGATAAAGAAAATATCATTCTGAAGTCAGGAGGGGCAATACTTGGGTTTTCCTTAAAAAAAAAAAAAAAAAAAAAAAAAAAAAAGTAGAGAAAAAGAGAACATGAGAGATGATCAGGAGAGAGCACTCAGGTTGCAAGGTCAGTCATGAAAGACTGCTATATACTCAACAGCTGTATTACTTCTTTCTTTTGGCTGTAGGCACCTTTGAGAAAAGAGAAAAGAAGATGCAACCTCATTATGGTGGTAACTTTGCAGGCAGAGAATATATCAGCAAAGGCAAGCTTAAGCCTGTCTGTAAGACGAGGCAACTGTGTCTAGTTTCCCTGGAGTGTGAAAGTCACAGACTGTAGCGGACTCTAACATCTGGAAAACTCAGCCAAGCACCAAAGTTAAGTATGTGCCAAGTTCTGACCCAGTTAAAAGACTAAACCTGAGCTGGCTGTATGTAAGAAGTGTTCTGCTGAAGCTCAAGGATAACGTCAAGATCATAACAATTAGTGATTAGTGAGTACAGAAGCTAAGAAATTTAGGTGTTTGTTTCTTTAAAAGTACTTAATATTTTCACTGTAATGTTGTAATCAATCAAGAGTTTCACTTTTCTGGGGAAAAAAACCCACAGAGAATAATTTAGTTGGAAAATGTGCTAATCTCTTAATAAATCACATCTCTAAGACTGAAGAGACGACTGAGCCCTAACCAGGGGCGGGGGGGGAGGGGGGCCGGGGAGGGGCTCTACTGGCTGATAATGTTCCCAAGAAACCCCAACTGCTAACCAAAGTCTAAGTGACAACATATCTTAGACACTGAACAAATGCTTGCATTTCTCCCAATAACCAAAATCCTTGTCTTTAAAATTAATAAAGTACAGTGCTTGCCAGCAAAGGGAATAATGATGTAAAAGGTTGAAACATTCAAACTCACAGGTCTCTACACAGCAAAGAGGAAATATACTAATGAAATTTTTGTACATAAATATTGTAGTCATGAGTCTTACTGGAATACTAATTTCCAAAAAATCTTTTACCTTTTAAAACAAATGCCAAAGTTCAGGCTGTAAAAGGCCATTTCCAAAAATCTGAGGGGCAGAATTTGGCCCATTAACAAATGTAACTATGAGAAAAGCAACAACTATTAATATTTCCCACTAAATGCTATACTCTGTTATTCAGAATTAGACTGTACCACTCTTGATCCATTTTATTTTTGAGGAGTTTGGTAATGTAGCACCTAAAGGAAATCATGACTTTTCAACATAGAGTAACACACATACTTTCTTCTGGGTCCTCACTGGCTAGGATGCTGCTGGAAAGTTCCTGCACAGCAGCTCGTGACTCAGTCGTGGAGTGATGAGGCCCTAGGCGGTTGTCCCTCTGGGCTTCCCACTCTTCACTGAAGCCACCATCATCGCTCTCTGTCACAGGGTCTTGGGACTCACCTTCTGTGCCTTCAAGAGAAAGTGGAAATTACAGCTCTGTAATACTTAGAAAAAAATGTTAATACCTTTAAGAAAACTACACGGAAACAGTAACTACCCGACTGTCACTGCAACTAGGTTAGCTGGCTCCTAAACCACAAATCACAAGCTCTAAAAGTACCTGGAGGTTGCCTACCCGATAGTCATTTCTCTCCTTGTTTCCTGAAGGCAGAGTCCGGATTTGTTTGGGTTTCCACCTATCCTGCACATGACTCTTCCCAATGACAGTTCTAAAGCTGAGGCTGGTACTAGCCAATGTGTGTTGAGGCCAAGTCTGCTCTGAATTTGGGGGGAAGTTTTTCTCACTCTTTTGAGAGTCAAGGAAGAAACAAACAGCCCCTTTCCAACTCTGGATGAGGTCTTATCTGGATAAAATGCCTAGAACTGCAGTTGCCATCTTCTGACCATGAGAAGCAGTAGACTGAGGACCAAGATTGTATCTAAAGATGACGGAACCAGAAGAAGGAAAGAACCTGGGCCCTTGATGATATCAACGAACCACAAAATTCCCCAACCCCACAAATGCCTACACCTTAGGACTCAACTCTAAGTTAACACAAGAGAGAACATAACTCTTCTTTGTTTAAAGCAACAAAGATCTGATCTCGGCTGCCCAAAGCTTCCTAAATGATGGCGCTCACCAGTGGCTTCAGTGACCAGGATAAAAAGCATACCATTATGGGAGGTGGGGTGAGGTAGGAAAGTGGGGGTGAATTTTTTTTATGGGCCAGTCATTTTGTTACGATGATCAATCTTACTGAACACTGTGAGCATAACATGAAAGTCCTGAGAAACTTCCATACATTAAAAATAATTAAAATACATGTGAAGTTGATAATACCTTTTCTCTCCTTTATTATTATTTCTAATAAAGGTAAAACATGCTCATAGCAGAGGGAGGTTTACCATGAACAAGTAAAGCTTGCATCCTTCAGGCCTCTCAATTGCATGGAATTCTGGGAGGGGCCAGAGCAATTCTGTATTTATAATTTGTATTCTTTTTCTTAACCAGGTCTTCACAAAACCTGAATCTTCTATGGTTTGGAGTTTACAGAATCATATAAACATAAGCTAAACATAAGCTTTATAAATAAAAACTGCACTGCCTGCTCTGCCCCATCCCTCCTCACTCCTACTTCCAAACCTTCAGACATCCCTCTTGGGAGCCCTGTGTCTTTTTGTTCCAACGTAACTTCTAGTTCTTCTAACACAGTGGTTTTTAGCGAGGGGGTAGCACCTCCCTTCCAGGGGGTGTTTGAAGAACCAGGATGGAGGCCTTTTGGTTACTGCAACACCTCAAAGCCACTATTAGCATTTAGTGAGTGGAGGACCAGGAATGCTAAATATCCTGCAGTGAGGGGAAGTCCCACACAATGAAGAATTGCCCACCCAAAATACCACAGCACTCCCGCCGAGGAGCTCTGAAGTTCAGCCAGGTCCTTCTAACTACAAGGCCTCTCCCCATGTCTCCTCTTCCAGAAAGTTCTTCAAATCTTCAGCTGGTTCATCACCTACTGTCACTTCCTCAGGGAAGCCTTCCTGATTTTCCAGAGTAAAGGAAATTCCTCTTCTATAAACTTTCATACCAACTTATACATCTCCTTTGTAGGCTGATCACAAGTGCATTAATTATTTGTGGAATTAGTTGTTGAACATCTGTATCTCTCCAAATAGGTTAGAAGCTCCACAGGGACAAGGTATCTTGTTCAGGGCTGTACCCCAGTGCCCAGAAAAATACCAGGCACACAGGAGCTCAATCACTATTTGTTAGAAGAATAAAATCTTGATGTACCAAAACCACATTCATACTCACATATATAACTCATAGATAACAATCTTTTAATTTTCTTTAGTTTCACACAGGTTAACGTAATAACTGGCCTTGTAACAACTGTTTCCAACGTATTTCCTACTTCTCTACCTGGACTGCTGTGGGGTTCTCAGGGGACAGTGCCCTCCTTGCAGCACCACTCGGCAGATCTCCTGGCTCCATAAAACCCCAACTTCCCTTTTCCTGACAAACAGTAACTCGATTAAGGCCCTTTTTTCTTCTCTCACCAATCTTTACTCTGCCTGTTTTTCAGCTTCCTCAGGAGGTTAGCTCTTTTTGTTTTAAAAATAACTTTCCTTTCTTCTTGACTATTTATGGTGTGCTATTATTCCAGTTCTCTCCACCAACTCCTACCTTATGTTCTCCTTAACATCTTCGGTAGTACCCACAGAGGCCTTTTGATCTCCCACCCTGGATCATTACTTTTATTCTCCTCCAGAAAGTCCTGTCCACCTGGAATATTTGATCTTCTTGGTATAAACATGATTGCATCTCAAGTCAAATTATACTTAAATTACCCTGGCCATATCAGATAAGAGGCTCTCATTTTTACAGGTTTGGAAACCAAGATTATTTTTCCTTTTTTAAATCATAGCCTCAATTTGAACCTTTCCATACTGGTATTAAGGGCACTGAATGGCAGAAGTTCTTCACCTAGGGTGCCTTGGGTGTGCAGCTGGGTTTAGAGTGTCTGAACTCCTTAAATATTTATCTGTATTTACTGGATATTACCACAGCTTTCAGGAGGTGCTCAAGAGTCCATGACCAAAGACAGAGGTTAAAATCATTGCTTCTTAGCTCACTGTCAGCCAATATAACAGGACAATGACCCAGAAAAAACAGGAAATTACCAAATAAAAGTCACCTACTTTGTGCATTACAATTGGAGTTTTTGGATACCTTCCTTTGGGCTTCTGGGTCTCCTTCTGCCATATTCACCAACCACACCATTGTTGCTGTTGGGAAAGATAAAAGTCCAGATAAGAACTTTAAACACAGAAAGTATGTGACTAGAGAACAGGCCATTATCTTCCTACACAAATCACCAATCTTCTTAATGTTGCCTTAAGTATCGTTAACAATCAGAAATAAATGCAGATTAAAAACCATAAAAGGTTTTCTTTGATTTGGGCAGATTAAAGAAAAAATCCTAAAACTGAGCATTTACTCTAGCTTCCCAACTGCAGCTGCTATTGTAAAACAGTTCCTCATTATTTCCAGTCCCTGCAAAGTAACCAGAGAGAAAACTGTTCAGGCCAGTCAGACTCAAGCTGGACTAGCTGAATTTCCTAAAACAGTGTGAAATCACTGATGAAAATTACTTACTGGAACTAAATCAAAGAACAAACCAGGGCTCACAAAAGCATCAGATGATCATGATGATTCTAAGGATGACTGAATAAGTTTCTTTCACATTATGCCTCACTTCTGGATTTTCAATAATGCTAAACTACATGATATACAAGTATTAAAAAAAGGTTAAAAGCAACAAACATAAAGGGGATAGTCAACTGGCTTATTCTATGTCCCTTCCATAAAAATAACATATATATCTATATAGATCTAGGTATATACACACATCTCTGTCACATTTTAGTTAAAGGACAACATGAATACTTTAAAATGGTGCTTCTCCTATATTGCAGGTGGGTTAAAAAAAATGGTATAGCTCTTATATAGCTCCTGTTGAAAGAGAATTTGGTAACCTCTAATAAAACTGTATGTGCCAAAAAAAAAAGAAATCTTGCCAGTTGCAACATGGACAAACCTAGATGTTTATGCTACTACACTAAAATAAATGAATAAACAAAACAAAACAGAAGCAAATCCATAAATACAGAGAACAAACTGGTGGTTGCCAGAGGGGAGGGTGGACGGGGGATGGGCAAAACAGGTGAAGGGTATTAAGAGGTACAAACTTTGAGTCATAAAATAAGTCATATGGATGTAAAGTACAGCATAGGGAATAAGTCAGTAATATAAGAACTTTGTAAGGTGACAGATGGTAACTATACTTACCACTGTGAGCATTTCATAATGTGCATAAATGCTGAATCACATCTGAAACTACTATAATATTGTATGTCAACTATACTTCAATTAAAAAAAAAAACTACCTGTGCATTAACCCTTTTATTCAGGAATACCACTTTTGGGAAATATCCCCAAAATACACTAACAATAATACAAAAATACTTATAAACATGTGCATATAGGGCTATGGCAGAAACCAAATGCTAGCAGCAACCTGAGTCTAATCTATGGTCACAGTAAGCAATTTTAAATAAGACACTTGGCATCTATGAATTTCTGGCTTGTTATCACTGATTTTATAATTATATCCATGTTCCTAATACCCTTAGGCTTTCTGAATAACTTATGAAACAAATACACAACCAAAGAAGCTGAAAATTCTTTTTTTTTTTTTACCTTTTTTAAATGTATGTTTGTTTGTTTGTTTATTTATTTATTTAAAGATTTATTTTTGAGAGAAACAGAGACACAATGCGAGTGAGTTAGGGGCAGAGAGAGAGGGAAACACAGAATCTGAAGCAGGCTCCAGGCTCGGAGCTGTCAGCACAGAGCCCGACGGCGGGCTCGAACTCATGAGCTGAGCCAAACTCATGACCTGAGCCAAAGTCGGACACTCAACCGACTGAGCCACCTGTTTAATAAACAGGTGTCCCTGTTTATTTATTTTTGAGAGACAGACACAGAGCATGAGCAGGGGAGGGGCAGAGAGAGAGAGGGAGACACAGAATCCAAAGCAGGCCCAAGGCCCCAAGGTGTCAGCACAGAGCCCGATGCAGGGCTCAAACCCACAAGCCAGGAGATCATGACCTGAGCCAAAGTCGGATGCTCAACCGACTGAGCCACCTAGGTGCCCCTAGAAGCTGAAAATTCTATAACAGCTACACTTTCTTGTTTACTGAGGCTTCAGGATTTTAAGGTCAAACAAGTTTCATTGTATGATAACCCAAATAAGTGGTCAAAGTCAACATAATCCAGGTATGCAATACACTCTTAAATTCAAACCCAAAGAAGAGAAACTCTGTATAAGGCTTATGAATTTCTGTAGCCTTCTTGGCAATGAAGGTAGCAAGTATTTATTTGATTTTCTCAATTCAAGTATGAAAAAATATAACAACAAACTCTTTTGTTTTAACATTTAATAGTACCATGGAGGGGTGCCTGGGTGACTCAATTAAGCATCCAACTTCGGCTCAGGTCATGATCTCGCGGTTTGTGAGATCAAGCCCCACATTGCACTCTGTGCTAACAGCTTGGAGCTGGAGCCAGCTTTGGATCCTGTATCTCCCTCTCTCTCTGCCCCTCTCCCACTCGCACTGTCTCTCTCTCTCAAAAAATAAACAAACATTAAAAAAAAAAATTAATAGTACCATGGAAATCAGGCGTCAGCAAACATTTTCTATAAAGAGCCAAATAATAAATGTTTTGGGCTTATGGGTCACATCTAGTCTCTGTCACATACTCTTCTCTTTTCTTTTCTTTTTTATTAAAACTGTAAAAATCACTCTTGGCATACAGGCTGTACAAAAACAGGTTGTGGGCCAGATTTGGCTACAGGCAGTAATTTGCTAACCACTGATGTAACTTATCATGAACAGAATATGTAGTTGTTGAATGAATTAATATTACTAAAATAATATCTAAAAACCCACTTCTGAATCTTTTAACACCAAACATCTCAGATTAGAAAAATATGCAATTTTAGGGGCGCCTGGGTGGCGCAGTCGGTTGAGCGTCCGACTTCAGCCGGGTCACGATCTCGCGGTCCGTGAGTTCGAGCCCCGCGTCAGGCTCTGGGCTGATGGCTCAGAGCCTGGAGCCTGTTTCCGATTCTGTGTCTCCCTCTCTCTCTGCCCCTCCCCCGTTCATGCTCTGTCTCGCTCTGTCCCAAAAATAAATAAAAAACGTTGAAAAAAAAAATTAAAAAAAAAAAAAGAAAAATATGCAATTTTAAAAATTCACATAATCTAAACTCCCCCAAACTGATATGAAATCAAAGAAATGCTTTGAATGAAATGATCTACCCTCAAGGAACTATTAGCCTCAGTTTTTGATAAGCTACCAGAGTAGACCACCTCTACTAGGGAAGAATGATTTAGTTCCAAAGCCAGGTGTACATTTTTCCTGTCAGAATGATGGAAACAGAAAACAAAAAAATGCTGCTCACATTTTGTGAGGATAAGATGCTTTCGCAAACCAAATTATCATTAACTGGGGAAGAGTATAGAAATGCAAAAAAGGATTGCTTTTTTTAAAATTATTTTCTTAACGTTTTTTATTTTGGGGCGGGAGGGACAGAGAGAAAGGGAGACAGAGAATCCCAAGCAGCTTCCAAGCTGCCAGTCCAGCCTGAGATTGATGTAGGACTCGATCTCACAAACCGTGAGATCATGACTTGAGCCAAAATCAAGAGTCAGATGCTTAACCAACTGAGCCACCCAAGCAGCCCCAAAGGACAGCATTTTTAAAGAGCCAATAGTAGGGGAGCCTGAATGGTTCAACTGGTTAACTCAGGTCATGATCTCACGGTCTGTGGGTTTGAGCCTGCATCAGGCCCTGGATCCTGCCTCGGATTCTGTGTCTCCCTCTCTCTGACCCTCCTTCACTCATACTCTAATATAAAACAACAAATATTAAAAAAAAAAAAAAAAAAAAAGAAGCCCTCTCAAACTCAGTGATTTATAAAATCCTCATGACAGATTTAGTATTTCATGAGAACAGATGCTTTCTTGGACCTGTCTGATATACACAGAAGGTAAAGGTTTATGCTTAATGTTTTTCCACATATGTTGAATTACTGTTAAAATATCTTAGAATGTCAAATGTTATGCAGACTTGAGTTTTTAAAAATGTGACATGCAAATGATATTTTAAAACAACAAAGTAAATGCTTATTTGCTGTATAAAATCAGTATGTATGTTTAATGTTGTGGCAAACTGAAAAACCACTGCCAATTCTTCACCCCTCCTGCACCCATGCTCGTGCCATGGCTACTGTGAACGGCATGTCGTTCTCCTCCTCTTCCTGACCTGGGGCTCAGCTATGTGGTTTGCTTCAACCAATGACATGTGGAAGGGGTGATGGCATGCTAACATCGAGCCTAGGCCTTCAAAGGCCTTGCTGCTGCTCTGTCGTTCCTCTAGCCAGTAAGAACAGGTCTTCCAGGAGCCCACTGCTGGAAGAAAGGGAGCACGTGGAGCTGGGCTAGAACAGCCAACTCAGATCAGCTCAGTGAATCAAACCACCTGCAGATATGGGGGGGGGGGCAGGGCGGTGATAAGTGACTCGTATTTTTAAGGCACTGAGTTTTAAAGTTTTAAGGTTTCAGTTTTAAACCACCTTAAATGTGTCACCACATTATTGTGACAGAAGCTAACAGTAGACAGAACAGTAAAACAATGTAAAATTATGAAAACACAAATAATAATTTAAAAACTCAAAATCCCTCCCCTTTGACATCCATAATTAACTTTTTAAAAAACACAAGGGACAATTAAAACTCTACAAGTGGAGAAAGGTATAAAGAAAAATATAAAAGCTACCAAATCTCTAAATCCCACTTCTCAGAGGTAAACACTACTAGCCTTTTGTCAGTTTTTAAAAAGTATCATCAGGATTGCATGTATACAGACTTCCATAGACAGCTCCTTTCCCCTACTCCTCCCACAGGACACTGCATTACTGCTTTCAATCTTGCTTTCTGTTTTTACTATGTCATCTTTAACATTAAAAAAAAAAAAACACACAACTGGACATATACAGAGCTACTGCATTTTTTTTTTTTTTTTGAAAGAGAGAGAGTGAAAGCAAGCGAGCATGCTAACAGGAGAGGGGCTAAGAGAGAGGGAGAGAGAATCTCAAGCAGGCTCCAAGCCCCAGCACAGAGCCCAACTTGGGCTCGATCTCACAACCCTGAGATCATGATCTGAGCCGGAATCAAGAGTCAGATGCTTAACTGACTGAGCCACCCAGGTGCCCCACTGCCTCATTCTTTTTAATGGCTGTACAGTTATCTATTTTATGATTGTACCGTAATTATTTGCAAGTGTTCCCTTTGATGGATACTTAGGTTACTTCCAACCAGCATTCATTATTAACATTTGGTGGAACATTCTGTATGCACAAATATAAAAAACATAAATGGATTTTTATTTCCAGGAATAACACATAAGAAGCTCACACCCAAATGTGATTAGGAGTAAAATGTTCAAAACGTCATCTGTTCTTTTCTGTTAAAAAACACAGGAAGCAGATGATAATAAATTTATACTGGAGAAAGAGTAACACAACGATCCTTGCATTCCAGACAATGGGTTTCTTAACACTTAATCAGACTTCTCTAGCTACAAGCACAGTCCCCACCTTTCCACCTCCCGCAAGTGACTTCACATCGAGTTCACAAGAAGATTAAGGTCAACTAACACGTGCTCTCAACTTTACCTGTATCTTTCACTATGTCTCACTACCCTCTGCATTTCCGTCTTCCTTTTTCCTTCTTTCCAGGTCTTTCCCTGTTCTCATCTAATTCCTCTTCCTGAACTCCTAGAGCAATTTCTACCTGCTTTGTTGGTAACCTTGTTCCATTAATCATTCCTTCTTGCTGGTCGTTTCAAAGGCTTTCTCCACAGGCTCCTTCCTCTCAACCTTGGAAACACAGTTACATCTTCTGTCTCCTGCCAACACCTTTCCTCAGAGCTGCTCTCCTCTCAAGTCACCACTGCCCTGGCTCTGAGACAGGAATCTGCAGCAGTAGGTGATGTGCACTGTCCCAACCCTCCTGCACCACCCATTCTCTGGCCACACCATCAATTCCACTGCCAGGATCAGCAACAGCAAAGCAGACACACTTCCTTCCCTTAGGAGCTATTGCCTCTGGTCCTATCACTCTACTGAAATGCTCTCTTAATTGCCACTGAAGATGTCCAAGGCACCCAAATCTATATGGTTTATTTAGTCCTCATTATCTTTGGCTTCTTTGTAGCATTTGACATTCTCTCCTTAAAACTGCTTTTCTAATAACCCAACAGAATAATAGGCAAGAAAAAAAAAGCCTACAAGGATATGTATCATATTGATTATAGGGGTAACTGCTAGTAAGGTATTATGATTGGAGATGATAGTTACAGTGAAATTTTGCTTTATCTACCATATTTAATATTTTCCAGCATAATCAGTTGCACAATTAAAACTTTTGAAAACATGTAAAACAATACTATACGCAGTCACAAAATAAGAAATATATATAGCTAAGAAAAACATGAAAAAAAGTCCAAATAATCACTAATAGTTATTAGTTAATAACCCAAGATGCAAAATAAATAAGAGGTTGTTTTTTGCCGATTTGTTTCACTCACACGTAATAATGAAGGTATAACAAAACTGGTACTTTAACACTACTAAAGGAAATAGAAACGGGTATAGCCTTTTTAGGAGGCAATTTGGATCTATCAAAATTTAAAGGCATACATCTTTTGACTTAGCAATTCCATTTTTAAAAAAAATTTTTTTTGACGTTTATTTATTTTTGAGAGACAGAGAGAGTGCGCGCACATGAGGGGGGAGGGGTAGAGAGAGAGGGGGTAAGGGTTAAGTTGTAGTGTAGGGCTAACTCGTAGCTTGAAAAATAAGAGCTTTGTTCTGACACTGAAGGTCAAGAGATAACAGCCTTGCTTTACTCTTGTAAATTATGCTTCGTACTCTTGTAAATCAGGCTTTACCAATGAAGGAAACAAAAGCTCAAAGAAAAGAGCATCAGAGGCAACGTCAAGGAGATCCACTGGTTGCAACTTAGCGAAGAAAGTCTAAAATAATCACCTCATCTGGGAACTGTTTCTAACTCATCTGGGAACTGTTTCTAACTCATCTGGGAACTGTTTCTCTGTTCTGTTCCCAGGTAATGATAAAACTATGTGATCGGCTTTAAAAACTTGTACCCCGGCTGTTTGGGGCCGCACTCTGATCAAGAGTGTTGGTCCTGATCGGACAGCCTTGCCTCTCATTGCAATAAACTTTGTTGTGACTGTCACTGGTGCCCGTAGCATTCTGTTTCAGGAGTCGTGTGGATGCAACAAGGGAGACGCATAATATGAAGCAGGGTCCAGGCTCTGAGCTGTCAGCACAGAGCCCAATGTGGGGCTGAACTCACAAACCGTGAGATCATGACCTGAGCCAAAGTCAGATGCTTACCCGACTGAGCCACCCCAGCGCCACAGCAATTCCATTTTTAAGAATGCATCTTACAAAAATATTCACAAAAGTGTATGCTCTCTGCAAGCACTGTTTGTGACAGAAAAGAAATGGAAATGATCTACAGGTCTACCAATAAGGACACCTATTTCTGAGCATCTATGTAAGAGAATACTATGTAGCCACTTCACACACTGACAAGGAAAACAAGTCCTGATACTGGTTTTTGAAGTGGAAAGTCCTGGCTATTCCAATTGTCTGATATTTTCCTCTCTTTAATTGTTGTCTCTTCATTTTCTCACTCTCTAAACACAGGAGTTGACAAAGTTCTCTCCTTGACAACCTCTCCTCATCCACTTCTGTCTGAACCACTCATCCACTCCCAAAGCTTCAACTACCACCGCCACAATGACCCTTTCAGTTCTGCACTTCTAATGTCAACCTTTCCCCAAGAACTAGCACTTTGCTTCTACACTTCTGGTGGAAATTTCTCCCTGGATGACTCAGAGGTCCCATCAACTAAATAAGATATGTGCCCAGACAAAACTAAACATTCCTTAAACAAGAGAAATGTTTCATCATCACCTTTCCTTCAGGCCTAAGACTTCTCTCATCGGTTGCTAGGAATTACCTACTAATTCTACCTCCAAAACCTCTTGTCAGTCCTCTCCCTTGACTGCCATTCCCAACACCAAAATTCAGACCTTCATCATCTCCCACCTAAATTACAGCAGTATCTGTTTAGTTATGCTTCCCATTACCTCAGTTTTCACTGCCCCCAATTCATCTTGCACAATGCTGCAAGCTTATAAAGCCACAGCTCTGATCACATTTCTCTTGTGCTCAAGAACCTTTGTGATTCCCCAGTGATCACATACAGATATCTAAGCCAGACACACAAAGCTATCCTTGATCTTGCCCTAATCTGCCTTCTTGCCCTAATCTGCCTTTCCAATTTGTACTCCGTGTTCTAGTCAATCTGAACATCTGAAATCTGATAAAGATGCCCCATTCTTATGTCTCAAAGACAGTCTTGTGATAAACCCCCTTATGGAATCAACTCTTCCATCTGTGTTTGCAGAAATCCTACCATCCTTAAAAGGTTCAATCAATCCAAATGCTATCACATCCATGAAGCCTTCCTGATCCCCCAGCCAGGTTTTTCCCTCTTCGAATTCTCTTGACACTTTGTGCCACTTCTGGATCAGGTAAGAACGCCTTGGATGTTGCTTATTTATACACTCTAAACTGTAAGCCAAGGAGCTTTAAGGAAGGCAAAGTATCTTAAACATCTTTATGTCCCCCACAGTGCTCTGGCAGATTTGGTCAAAGCCCAAATGCTTATGTACCAAATGATTAGGAAGAATATGACCCCAAAATAACAACAAGAGGGGCAAACAGATTGTGAAGGAACAGTACCATTCTTTCAATGAATTAGGGCAAGCTTCACTGGCAGTAAGTGTACATAACAAATGCTCATTCTTGACATACGAGACTTCAAATGAGAACACTGGCTCCCCATTCTCTAAATAGTTCTTCTTCTCTAAGTTTATTTATTTTTGAGAAAGAGAGGGTGAGCTGGGGAGGGGCGGGGAGAGAAAAGAGAGAATCACAAACAGGCTCTGCACCATCAGCATGGAGCTCGATGCAGGACTCAAACTCACGAACCATGAAATCATGACCTGAGGTGAAATCAAGAATCGGATGCTTGACTGACTGTGCCACCCAGGCACCCCTATTTCTTCTAGTTCTGTATCTATTGAAAACTGTCTTGAACTAGATTCAAATGGAAGACAATAGTTACCAAGGAAACAGGAATGTGTAGAAGTTCCCTTAATGTTATCTATGCTTTTAAAATGAGAAAAAGTATGACGATAATGACCACAACCACTTGTGTTTGAGTTCCTATAAATTCTAAGCTGATTACTAACTTAACATTATTCCAAAATACTTACAGGAGTAAATGAGAGCTGGAAAGAGAGTTTCATTTCTTTCCTGAGCTGTTTCAACCAGCATACGAAGTGGGCCTTTTGGACACAAAACAGCCACTAAATCTAGAAAGAAAAAAAAATTATTTTTAATCTGGAAAAATATATCAGCTCAACTTGTAAATGGGTCTGCTAGGGAGGAATTAACCAAGGGAAAAGGGATAATGTCTTATTTAGAGGGGAAGATGTTGAATGAATATGAAATAAACAGCAGGTAAACTGGTGGGGGGGGGGCGGGGGAGGGACAACCTAAACAAGATACACAAAACCATACAGAAGATCCACGTAAATTTCATTTTGGTTTTTCCTGCTAGTTGGTTAACAGTGTATCATTACTGAGTTCTAGGAATAAGTCTTCCCAGTTTGAAGAAAAGAGGCAGGGATAATGACAAGATCATTATTTCTGTTTATTGGAATTTCCAATTTCCAATAAGCAGAAACAAAGACAAGCCATTTCCAAACAAATCTTATCAGGAGCCACAGATGGAAGCTTTATACTGAGAGGAATTTAATAGAGGGGATTACTCCATTTTTCAAAATATGGAGAGTAAAAGATTCATTCCCTCACCTTTTTAAAAACAGTATAGGTACTACTTAGGGATACTTGAAGTAAGAGGGAAGTAAATTTAAACACAACAAAATAATAAATCTTTGCATGAGAAACTTTAGTATTTCTTTTGTTCTCCTGTCAAAAGCATTTCACAATATGCAAGCCTTAGAATGCATGTGGAGCTGAAAAGTGGCCTATTTCATAAAAATAGCTACTCAGAGAGGAGGAGATTTGCCTCAGCTATTTTTAATTCTATCTCTTTCCATCAACTGCAATTTTTCTTACATTTTCTTTATTGCCATAAAAATTCAAAACACAGAGGTACAGAAAATTTCAAATATTTAACACTATTAAAATGGGTAGCTACATTTGTCAAGGAAGACTTGACAGCTTGTGTTGACACTGTCATCATTCAGATGCATTTAAGTAAAAAAAAACCCTCACACCAGCAAGTGGTCATGTCTCCTTTTATACTACTACCACTAATATACTAAATCACACAAAGAATTCTCAGCTCTCACTGCTTCCACTTTGATTTGTTTTGAATGACAAAAGGGAAATTTGACGTGCTCTGAAATAATGAGATTTTCAACCTGTTTGAAGGGGCTGTGTCCTGTAACTATCTCGGTTTTATGACATGCTGCCCCTTACAGAATCGCTAAATGATAAACTCCCTTATTTTTAGAACAATTAAAGTGACTTAATTTTGTTTAAGAATTTTTAGAATCTGTGTGACAAATTAAAAAATCTTCAGACCTTATAAAAAGGGAGTTGAGAATCACTAAACGATGGATACAATCTCTTAAAGGAACTCAAAGCTCTGTAGAAATAATTTGTATCATGTATGGTAGAAAGAGGGGTAAATGGGAGAAATAATGTAACACAGTAGAAAGCATACTGGACTTGGGATTCAGATTCTAGATCAAACACTGTAAGCCTAGGCAAATACTTTACTTCTCTAAACTTCAGGTTTGTTAGCAGTAAACAGGAATTACTGCCTTGATTATGGGATTTTATATTTTGAAAAATAACAGCTAACATTTACTGATACTGTTCTAAATGTATTATATGTATTTTTTCATTTACTCTTCACAATAACTAAGATTTAGGGGTTGAGCATTGTGACTAATAACAGACGGCCAATAACTGATAGGAGAGGAGCCTGGTTCTGAACCGAAGGCAGCTGCCTCCATAAGTGGCACTCTTTGTTTTTGGACATAAAAAATAGCACCAGACTCATTATTACAATTCACCTGTAATGTCTACTGATAGAAAATGCCACGTTCCATTTAATTAAATTTTAACTTGCTTGTGTATGTCACAACGGTGCTCTGTGAGGACTGTAGCCTGGGGCTGGTAGGGATGGTGAAAGTCCCACTGAAACCCTTGTTCAAGAGCCCAGCATTGTGTACTTTTACAGGTGAGATAGTCACTATTAACAATGTCTGGAACTCCACAGTGGATAAAGTGAGGCCTAGACTCTGGCTTTAATTTGTACAGAGACATGTGTAACCTTGATATATATTCTGGTTATCTGTGAGGCCAGAGATTCTCACAGTTATTTTCCTTAAAGAGGAAAACCTTGGATAAGTAATTGCTGTTGCTACCATTGGTGGAACCAGATGACTACACCATTGGCAATGGCCCAGGCGTCTGTAAAAATGCAGAGATGAAGTCACTTGTTGGCTAGGATAAGATGATTGGCTAAAGTTCAGCTAATTTTGCTGACCTCTGGATCCCACTCTCTGATCAAGGATGTTTGGGTTAGGGAACGAAAAGAAGGAGCTCTTTAGTAAGTTTCATCACGTGTAACTTTGATGCTGTCCATAAGGTGTACAAACTCCCACTGCCGTCCACTCGTTTGTTCCCAAAGGGCTTCCCAGGTAGCCACAGGTCTGAGAGAGGGGTGACCTCTTCTAGCACCCTGTCAACCAGCAGGGGACTAAGGATAGAAGGGGCCACCTCTCTTGTAGGTGCAATGCTCCAGAAGGCCCAGACTTGGCTCTATCCTGTAGGTAACATTTCTGTCTTAGCAGGGAGGCCCTGGTAGTTGTCTTGAAGTTGCAAAATGCTGCCTCCATGACACACAGAAAGATATGGAGCTCCACAGGTTCAGGGCCGGTGAAAAACTTTTGTTTCCAGGAGAGCTCAATATGTACTCTCCAACTGCCACTCTAATGGTATATAGCAGGAGACTGAGGAGGGCAGTTTCTCACACCAGAATCCACGGGCAACTTCTGATCATAAGTGGTCCAGAGATTTCAGGTGTGAAGGGAGGCTGCCAGAGCTCCTACAGTGAATGATTCTCTGGAGGTAGGGAGAGGGGACATTAAGGGAAGTGACTGTTCTACTACAATTTGGAGATTCTTAGAGCCCTTTATTGTAGGAGGCCCCAATTCAAGATGGGCCAATTTGTTATTAACAGTATAAACAGGCTTAAGTAAAATTTGTAAATGAGTGATAGGTTGCCTCCAGATCCCAAAAACGCCTAAAAAAATACGGGGCTTATTTTAACATTGTGGATATAGGGAGGCTCTGTTGCTATTTCTTGACAGTGTCAGAGATGTAGAAGGCCTCAGTGTGGAGTTATTTCCAGAGACTGTACTGTAAGCCCTGGGTAAGTGAATGGGGTAACTGCTGAAACATCAGCAATGTTCTCGTCTCAAGGCTGTCAAATGCGATAGCACAATGAGAACAGAGCCCCCTGATCTCCCAGGAGCCAGTTAGGGAACCAGACCCCTCTAATTGCGTAGCAGTCCTCGAAACTGCACATCTTCCCTACATGCTTTCCCGTAAACACCAGATATGTGTTTCGTCTACGTCTGGAGGCTCTTTGGGTTTTCCTCCCATGTTTTCACATTCTTTGATGTTTATACCTGGCGAACATGAAATAAAGACTATGTGCAGTTTGGTGCTGCTGCTGTTTCACCGGTAGAGGCAGCCCTGCACATCCACTCAATCTGAGAACTTTCTCTTCAGTGCGCGGCTACACCTCAGCGCACCAAATAATTTTCAGGAATTCAACTGGGGTGGCAAAGCCTTGTACTATGTATAGGCAATGCCCAGCCCATTTTTTTTAGCTCCTTTGTGAATATTTGTATATCTCCAATGAGTATGTCAAATGAATCTCTTCAGAGGATAATATCATCAGTGTGATGTTGTATCTGTGCTCCTGGAGAAAGCTGGATGTGGTTAAGATCTAGACAACAAAAATAATACGCAACGGTTGCACTGCTGAAGAATTCCATGAGCAACTAGGTAAAGATCTAGCATGTGTCCCTTTGAAGGTGAAAGCAAACTGCAGCTGTTGAAAAGGCACTGAAGAACATATTAGTAAAATCTCTGCAAAGTATTTACCAGCTGCTGATTAGATGGGGGCCAGAACTGGCCAGAACACAGCTATGCAATAATAGATGAGTACTCTGCAAACCATCAAGTACTATACAACCTAAGATCATCACGAAAAGCACAAACAATATATGACTTCTATAGTTCTAGGATTGCTCAAATATGAGAACAGAACCAAATTAATTCTATTTCCACAGACTTTTTCTTTATTAATCAAGTGGGGATGGTTAGGATTCCTACTACAGGTCACCTAACATTTTAATAAGCATTTGAATAGCAATAAAAGAGCACTGTCTAATTATAATCAGAGACCACATGCTGACCTCTGAAAATGGATCTCTTTTTGGCTTTCGTGCAGGGTGACAGCCACGAAGTACATACCTATACAGCTGCTTTTGTTATTCATGGCAACGGCACATTCTGACTGTTCGGCACCCATGTCACACTGGTTGTTCATGAATTTGAATCTCACACTGCCCACATACGTTTTATTTTTAAAAGAATAATTCTACCCAGGTTACCTTATAAGAAGTAGGTAACCTAATTTTGATTTTAAAAACCAACTGAGCATTTTATGTGTATAAAGTACTCTGCTAGTGTTTTTCAACATATGTTCTGAACTCTTACAACTCTGGGAAGCATCGTTCCCATTTTCCAAATGAGGAAACGGAAGCTCAAAGAGTTTGAGGCACTTTCCTAATGTCACAAAGATACTCAGTGCTAGAGATGGGACTTAAATCTGAGTCCTATAGACTTCTAACCAGAAGTCTATGGATCCTTCCACTAATCCATCACTGGGTTCAACTGAGGGGCACTCAGAAAACATTTTTAAAGAACTTAACCTCAAAACAATGGAGATCTTTATATGAAAAAGATACTATAGCTAATTACTTATTTACTGAAGAGCTATGGGATGTAACAGTTATCACTTTCCTAAGTCAAGATAACTGGAAAAGGAAGGGAAACACACCAGTGAGGTACTTCTGTGATGAACAAAATGTCAGTCTTGAGTTTTACCATATACTGAAATCACAGCCAAGATGAGCCATGCTGTCCACTCTGGGAGGTACTTGATAAATACCAAGGCCATGAGGGCACTGATCATAATGAGATATGCCTGCTGGAGTCGCAGCGGCCCTTTCCAGTGAATGGCAATCATTCCCACCACACCAAAATTCCAGATCAGGAGTGCAACAGTAATGTAGTCCATGGCAACATTGTAGGTTTTAAACACTTCCCTGAAAAAAATTAAACAGAAATCTAAAAAGATTTATATATAGTAATTTTCATCAAAGCATTGTTTAGAACTATGGTTCCTCCAAATTAGATATTCCTATCTCACCTTCATATTTTCATATCTTATTATCAACTGTGCTATTAATAGTTTCCTTTAAATTAGTTCACTTGTCCCCTCAAGTTGAGTTTATTTATTTTTCTTTTTTTTTATTAAAAAAATATTTTTTTTTTAAACATTTATTTATTTTTGAGACAGAGAGAGACAGAGCATGAACGGGGGAGGGTCAGAGAGAGGGAGACACAGACGCTTAACCGACTGAGCCACCCAGGCACCCCTATTTATAATTCTTTGAAAGAGAGAGAGTGAGCACAAGTAGGGGAGGGACAGAGGGAAGGAGAGAAAGAGAATCTTAAGCAGGCTCCACACCTACCACAGAGCCCCTGACATGGGGCTTGATCTTACAAATATGAGATCATGACTTGAGCCGAAATCACGAGTCAGGTACTTAACCAGCTGAGCCACTCAGGTGCCCCAAGCTGAGATACTGATTTAGGCTCAGGTCATGATCTCACAGTTTATGAGTTCGAGCCCCGTGTTGGGGTCCGCACAGATGGAACAGAGCCTGCTTGAGATTCTCTCTCTCCCTCTCTCTCTGCCCCTCCCCTCCTTGATCTCTCTCTCTCAAAATAAATAAAAATAAACTTTAATATTTAACTAAAATAGATTAATTAAAAAATTAAACATATGGGGAGCCTGGGTGGCTCAGTCAGTTGAGTGTCCGACTTCGGCTCAGATCATGATCCCACAGCTTGTGGGTTCAAGCCCTGCATGGGGCTCTGTGCTGCCAGTTCAGAGCCTGGAGCTGCTCTGCATACTGCGTCTCTCCTCTCTCTGCCCCTCCCCGACTTGTGCGCACTCTCTCTCAAAAATAAAGAATGATGGGGCGCCTGGGTGGCGCAGTCGGTTAAGCGTCCGACTTCAGCCAGGTCACGATCTCGCGGTCCGTGAGTTCGAGCCCCGCGTCAGGCTCTGGGCTGATGGCTCAGAGCCTGGAGCCTGTTTCCCATTCTGTGTCTCCCTCTCTCTCTGCCCCTCCCCCGTTCATGCTCTGTCTCTCTCTGTCCCAAAAATAAATAAAAAACGTTGAAAAAAAATTAAAAAAAAAAAAAAAAAAGAATGATAATAATAAAATTAAACACGCAAAATAAATTTTATAGCTAGGACATATGATGTTATCAAGAAATTTAGTGTAGCCATTAAAAATATATATATACATAGATATTTTACAATACTAACCAGCCTTATATACACCAGGTACAAACTATATATAAAAACAATTATAATTTAAGAGTAATTCATCAACAAAGTACGTGGCTTTAAGTCACAGTTATATAGATCAAACAGATTTAATTCCTGAAAAACAGACCAAATATTTCACCACTTACCCCAAGTAAATGAATGAGAAAAAGAACAGCAACAACAGAGATGAAATAATAAGCCAGGCATGGATGACCTAGAAAAGAAAGCAGTTCAATGTAACTGACAGATCCCATAACCCTACAAAAAGGCAAATTTCTTACTTCAAAAATAATGTATTATTTATGTATGTGTTATGCTTTCCAAATGGCAGAACTCAAACTGATTTTGGGATCAGTGCATACTTCTATTAGAACTCTTTGGTGCTGAACTACTGCAGAAGAGAAAATTCAGCAAGACATATACAGACCTTGTTCCTTTACAAATATATGAAAATTAAAAAAAATTTTTTTTTAATGTTTATTTTTGAGAGAGACAGAGTACAAGTGGGGTAGGGGCAGAGAGGAGGGAGACACAGAATCTGAAACAGGCTCCAGGCTCTGAACTGTCAGCACAAAGCCCAACGTGGGGCTCAAACCCACGAGCTGCAAGATCATTACCTGAGCCAAAGTCGGACGCTTAACCAACTAAGCCACTCAGGTGCCCCAGAAATATGTGAAATTTTAAAAATAATACAGTCTAAAATGAATTATCAATTCATTTGACTTTTGGGGAACCAAAGGTCCACATTTAAACTTTAAAGGAGCAATATTTTCAATGGAAATTTTTCGTGGTATTTCTGAAATAAATAGAAAAAACTGAATACAATAAAATTGAAAATCAGATATTCTATTAGGTGACTTGTATATGCATACATTAACTGTATTAACAAAAATAAGCCTTTAAATTATATAACCATTTGATGAAATATTCAGAATCTAAAGTTTGAACACTTTCTATTTTATTTAACATGGTTCATTACTAAGTAGTAATATTACGAATTCTTTGGAACACTTCTAAGTCCATCATCATGCACAATTCATACAGCACTATACAAATATTAGTCACTGTTACTCATGTACAGCTTATGAATATGATAGAATCAGAATTTGACTTTTCTCATCTGTTACACAAGATGAACATTTTAAATGTTAATTTTATGTAACAGGTGTATTTGGGAAAATACAATACAACCCAGGGAGCCTGGAGATTTTAAGAACAGAATGGAGAAGCACAAAAAAAACTGTCAAGTAATTTCTAACCAAATTGAAATTATTTTGAGGTGGATACACCCATTATATGCTTCAATCTTTCAATGAAGCTTACTGTTTAATGACAGAAGTTACTTAACCAGTAAATTTTCCAAACATAGTCTCTTACCAGAGTATTATTTTGTCTTCATTAAAAAAAAAACCTCCCACACCCACCTCCCAGATCCAGTTGTTCCAATAATCAGGCTCTAAGCTATCAAAATCTAGTTGTGATTAAAATGTATGTTAGTTTTTCTTTCTCTTGTGGTTCTGTTTTGATTACCCAAGGTGATCTATGATTGTCCTGAAAGATTTCTGCTGTCTCTTTTTCTTTAGAACAACTTTATAAAATGGTACAGTTTGGGGAAAAGTCAAAAGAATGGCTTTACATGGAAGCTGGTATTCCTTGGACATCTGAATATTCTAAACTGACTACCTGAATACAACAAACTTAATTTCTAGTGTTCTTTCACAAAAATTTCCCCCAACAATGTATTATAAAAATTTTTTCAAACATACAGCAAAGTTTAAAGAATTTCACAGTGAATATCCAGCTACCATTCACATTTTGCTATACTTGGCTTTGCAGCATTTCTATCCAGTTCGCCATCTATTAGTCCTTTTTATTTTTAATACATATCAAAGTAAAGTGAAGACACCTATACACTTCCCTCTGAATACTTCAACTTTAGCAAAATATTCTAAAGGGAGCCCTTCCTCTGGTTGGTCTGCAGAAAACCCAGTAAAGCTGAAAGAGCAAAAAGCAACCTCCTTGAGGGCTTCCCAGTCCCTCGCTTCCAAGTCTCAGCTACAGAAATAATCCATTACAAAACTAAAAAGTTATATAAACTATTACAAAACAGAAGAGCTTTAACAAGTGGAAGATGTACATTGGTACCCCGTATTAAGTGATGAATTAAAAAGCAGGAGTAAACACTGAATACTAGAAATTCTCATCTTTCTTGAGATAAGCTCTTTGTTTTTTCAGCAAGGGAACATGGGGGCATTATTTTAAGAAAGCATTTATCTGAAAAGAAAAGCAACATATATGCATAATATTGAGAAGATAAACACTAAAAGAAGGAAACAATTCCCACTGATTGGGGACAAAGTTGTTAATTACCTTTTTTTTTTTCAGGTATGTTTTCTGTCTGCATGTATAAAGACCTTTTAACAATATTAGAATCAAGTAATATATAGTTTAATATTCTGCCTTTTAAAAATTTTTTTAGTTTATTTTGAGAGAGAGCGAGCAAGCAAGAGAGGGGTAGAGAGAGAATTCCAAGGAGGCTCCGTGCCGTCAGTGCAAAGCCTCCTTGGAATTCTCTCTCTGCCCAATGAGGGGCTTGATCTCATGAACTGTGAGAGATGACCAGAGCTGAAATCAAGAGTCGGATGCTTAACCAACTGAGCTACCCAGGTGCCCCTTAACCTTTTCTTATTCCCAATTTCTTAGGGAATTACAATTTCCAATTTTTTTTCAATTGTAATTTATGCTAGGATAAATATCTTAGCATGCACATATTTTCCTGCATTTCAAATTCTTTATTTCAGATATATCATGAAAGGAAAATTATGGAATCAAAGTGTACAGACTCTTATTACTGACTATTGATATATATTGGCTTAGTGACTTCACACACAAAAAAACCTGTATTAATCTTTACCAAGTCAATAGGTGAAATGTATCAATTTGTTATTCTAATGTTTCTTGTTTTTCTATTGAGGAAACATATATACACATCTCTCTGTTTCTCTCCTGGCCATCTACATTTCCTTTGTAATTCCTGTGGCTTGGGTTTCTAAAAATTTACAGGATGTTCCTAATTTTTTTTTCTTTTTATAAAGATTTCATTTTTTTAAAAGTAATCTCTACACCCAATGTGGGGCTCAAACTTACAAGCCAGAGGTCAAGGGCCACATGCTCTACCAACCAAGGCAGCCGCCCCTACGTAGGAGCCAGGCGCCCCTACGATGTTCATAATTTTCTTAATAGTTTGAAAGGCTCTTCATATTGTAAAGATATTAGCCCTTTGTCTGTAATAATGGTTTTTGGTCACTAATGTTATGATTTTCTGAATTATTACCTGAATTCAAAGCCTCTTCTGATGATGACTAAATAGCACTTGCCCTTTTTCTAGAACATCAGGTGGTAAAACAGGCTTTTTTTTCTCATCTTGCAAAAATCCCTAGTTCAGCTTTCCTGTGCTAAAGGCTCTGAAAGAAAAGAGCCATGCTTCAGTGTAGAACAGCAGGCATCTCCTCTAAACCCTGAACTAGCCAGGCCGGAAATCATGTGCTTTTGGTAAGTTATATAGTTTCATCTATAACCTGATATGTAATAATTAACTGCCTTTTCAGTCTCTACCTTTTTAAAAGTTTGTTTGGTCTTTTAGCTTCTTGTGCTTCTCACAGACATTGCACAACCAACCACTGACATAACAAATCTTCGGGGTTTATTTCCAAACAGGTCCTGGCAAGTTTCTGAATTTCTGACTCAAAAGCTCCTTTTATTTTACTCTAGGAATCAAAGTAAACAACTTGTTCCTATAGAATTGGCTGTGCCTGCTAAGACTTGAACTTAATGTTAAAAAGCAAAACAAAGCAACACCCATGAACAAATAAATGTAGAAATGTGGCTGAAAATAAACCCTTGCATACTTTCTAAAAGAGTTACATGACATGTAACTAAAAGATGCACAAAACTGACCAAAAATGTATCAAGAGAGGTTCGAGGTGCCATGGAGTAAAAGCACACCTATCCTGTCTCTCCTGCCAAACGCAACCATAAAACTTGGAGAGAATGCATGCAGCTGCTAGGTGAGGACTCCGAAAAGTGAACAGAGTCAGGTGGGCTGGGGAATGAGAAATAAGTTGATCACTTTTTCCCCTCCAGTACTATCCTCCTCCATTAGAATTCAATGCAGCTCTGACTGGGCATTAGCAAGACAGTGAGAGCTCTAGAAGCCTAGTTCTGGAAAGGAACAGGAAAGAGGTCTCCTAACAAAAAAGAGAATGCAAAAATATCAATTTTGGGTTTTTCCTTTCACCATTCTCTCACATTCAGCCCCCAAAGAATCCTGTGGGGGTGGCAGTGGGGGTTGCAGGAGCCTAAATTTCAGAGGGGAAGTTTCCTCTGTAACCTGGAGGAGCTGTACTTCCCAGAGAGTGGGGCACATTGCACTTGTTTCATTTCTCTCTGTCCTCCCACTTCATGGCCCCATCATTGGTAAAACAAAGCCCCATCATTGGTAAAATAAAGTCATTTCTAGCTGGAGGAATGGAAAAGGGAGGCCAAAAAACCCAAAAAATACCAGGGAGATCACAGAAAGGAAGAAGCTTAGGAAAGCAAACTTTTAAAGCTGTTATGAACTTATTGGTCCTTCCTAAAGGTGTACAGGTGTGGTTATGACCCTAAACAGGATACAGACTCCCCATAAAACGCAAAGAAGAAAAGTAGCATGTAATCTAGATAAGAGTCACAAAGTGAGTCCAGCAGAGCAGAAATATGGACCTAGTAAGTAAACACAGGCAGACAAAGTTATTGTCATGAAGATACTTAAACGGGGAGGAGAAGGCTTTGCAGCAAGGGTTTACATCATTCGCTCTTTGGTTTTCTGAGTATTAATGACACTTGCCACCATCATACACACCTGTCTTCCATCTTTTCCACTTGCTAACAATGTCAAGACTACAGATGGCCAACACTTAGGTTAACACTCCCACCCACTCAAACTTTCAACAAGGTTAACAAGGTTAAATTCTGCATAATTTTAAAGTTCGTGAACACTGGAAAGGTATTTGATCTTACTAAATACCAGCCAAATGCAAATTAAGGCATTTTGTTTCATCTATAAAAATTAAAATTCAATGCTGGTAAACGTAGGGTAAGACATTCTCATTCTCTACTAGTGTTAAGTACAAACTGATACTATCATTTTGAAAAAGGAATTTTGCACACCATAATGGTTAAAAATATGTAGATAATTCATCCCTGAAATTCTGTGTCTAGGATTTTACCCTAAGGCAATAATGTGAAAAACTGAAAAAGCTCCACAAAGACATTCATTGTTTAGAATAGCAAAAAACTGGAAACTTAAATGTCCAACATCAGGGAGATTAGGGAAAGTAAATTACAATACGCTCATTGAGTCAAATGTTATGTAGCCTTTGGACATATTTTCTGAGAATTTATAATATGGAAAAATGCTTATCCCAAAGTGAAAGTTAAAAAAGGACACATATTGATTATACATTTTATCTTAACCATGTTAAAGAATATACAGAAATAAATAGAAGGAAATCGAGTAGACTTCAATATTTGGAAAGTTATCATTCATTTCATTTCTTTGAGAAAGACCCTAAAGGCTCATGACTTATAATAATTTGTGATTTTTCTGAGGCACGCATCTGAAATATGTGCCAGGTGGCAAAAATTCAAGAGTGAATCCCTTAGCTAGCAGGTGAGCTAAGTGGGCAAGGCTGGGAGTGTTGGGCCTGTGTCTTTCCCGCACAATCTCCCCTGCCCTTATTTCCCAAGGAAAGAACTAGTGCTCCTGCAGGAGAGACAGTAAGGGATGGATGGCTCCCAATACAGAAGTGGGAATATAACCAGTCACCAATGAGTTTAACACCAGGGTCTGAAGGAGGCTCCACTGGCCTGTACTCAAGAAAATCTGAAAATTAAAAATCAAATTTTTAAAGTTACACTAACAATTAAAAAAAAATTAAAACTCAAAATCAAATCAGTTCTACAACATAAGACCCTTTTGTACAAGACAGGAAAACCCAATCACAAAAAGAACATGGTAGAAACCAAAGCTCCATATCTCACGCTCACCTTATAGCACCTGTATTTATACAGAACCACCAGGAGAATAGTCATGACAACAATGACGCTGATCATGATAGCAGCATTCAGAATTGAGTGTAGGGCTCTCTGCCCCACGGTCTCGGTGTCTTCTGTGAATGGGGTATAGATTCTGTAATAAAACAAAACACAAAAGCCCCAGGTCAAACCACATACCCTCTCCTTGTCTTGTTTCTTTGATTCAAACTGGTATCTTTAAGTGACCTTTCTTCCATCTCAGCAATCTAGCCAAGAATTTTAGCTAAGAAAATTAGCTATACTTTAAAATAAGTGCTTTAGGGTCGCCTGGGTGGCTCAATTGGTTAAGCATCTGACTCTTGGTTTCAGCTCAGGTCATGATCTCATGGTTCATGAGATCGAGCCCCACGTTGGACTCTGTGCTGACAGTGCAGAACCTGCTTGGGATTCTCTCTCTCTCCCTCTCTCTCTGCCCCTCCATGACTCCTGCTGTTTCTCTCTCAAAATAAATAAACTCCAAAAATAATAAATAAATAAATAAATAAATAAAGTGCTTCAAGATAAAAAGAGATATCCAAAATATGGAGAGGTGGACTTCCGTGAACCAGACACTGGCTCCACCTAGTGGATGCTTTATATTGAAATAATTACTCCTCAAATGTTCTTTCTCCATAGCTTATTAGCAATTTGTTAAAGAACTGGGTTCTGCCATATACTGAGGCTACAAATAGTTGTCAGAGGAAGAGGGCTTATAATACAGTAGCTTACAATTATTTTTTTTCACCTATAGGAACTGTTCTGATATAATATATCCATCTTCCCCTTGGTTTCTCATTCACATAAACATGTTTTTATTCCAGGTCCTCAGTCTCCCAGCTAAAAGACTTTTTTCTGACTTCTTTACAGTTAGGTGTGGCCATGAGGCTAAATATGGTCAATGAGTTATAAGCGGATATGTTGTGCTGAACTTCTAAGAAAGGCGTTAATTCTGCTGAGATGTCTTATATCCTCTTCTCTGCCACTCCTTCTTTCCTGTTGTCTGATTTGAAGCCTAGAGCTCCAGTACCAATAAGGAACCTTGAATAACATAAATGATAGAAGCTAAAGGAAAAGGAAAGAAGACTGAATCCTTGAAAAATGTGAAGTCACTATACCAATCTGGACTGAGTACCCAATACCACTCTCTAGGAAACAGATAAAGTATGTACACCATTTAAACCAGTTGTTTTCATTTCCTGTAACAGGGTCAGGCAACTTTCTGTAAAGAACTAGAGAGTACACATTTTTTAAATTTTATTTTATTTCATTATTTATTTTAGAGACAGAGAGAGAGTGCAGGCATGGGTGGGAGAGAGGGGGAGGAGGAGGAGGAGGAGGAGGAGGAGAAGAAAGAGAGAGAGAGAGTGAATTTTAAGCAGACTCCACACTCTGCACAAAGCCCAATGCAGGACTCGATCCCACAACCCTGGGATCATGACCTGAGCTGATATCAAAAGTAGGGATGCTCAACTGACTGAGCCACCCAGGCACCCCAAGAGAGTACATATTTTATTTATTTATTTATTTATTTTTAATTTTTTTTTTCAACGTTTATTTATTTTGGGGACAGAGAGAGACAGAGCATGAACGGGGAAGGGGCAGAGAGAGAGGGAGACACAGAATGGGAAGCAGGCTCCAGGCTCTGAGCCATCAGCCCAGAGCCCGACGTGGGGCTCGAACTCACGGACCGCGAGATCGTGACCTGGCTGAAGTCGGACGCTTAACCGACTGCGCCACCCAGGCGCCCCTAGAGAGTACATATTTTAAATGTTGCCATATGGTCTCTGTTCCAACCACTGAACCCTGCCATTGTAGTATGAAGTCAGTATGAAGACAGCCATAGACAATATATAAATGAATGAACATGGTTGTGTTTCAGTAAAAGTTTATTTATAAAAACAGGTGGCAGGCGGATCTGTCCTTTGGACTATGGCTTACTAACCCTTGTTCTATAACATGTAGCCCAAACTAACTCTAACGTATACAGATAATATTACCTAGTCTCTTTTGGCTACTGTCTCCAATCCCTGCCCTTTACTCATTATCTTAGCGTTTCTTCCAAATCATTACAAGTTTGGCTTTCAGAACACCACACAGTTCGCTAATTTCAAATTCCAAAATTCACTTAAAACTCTGTGTGAGCCCAATGGGAGTCCCTGAGACAGAACTAGGTGAATCTGAAAGCATTTTTCTTAAAGGCAAAGGGGTCGTACCAACAGCACCAGAGAATCAACACAACAGTCTCCCAAGAGTCTAGAGAATGCCAGCTTGTATTAACTCTTCATCCTTTCATTTACTGACTTTTTACTGAGCATTTATTACATAACTAGCCCTGGACACTAGTTGCCCTCATAAGCCTTACAGTATAGAAGGAAACCAGGCTTTAAATACTGTAAATAAGTAACAGATTTGCATCTTGTGACAGGTGAAAAAGAACAGGTTGCTATGAGAAAGAACATCAGGAAGGACCTAATTCTCTTATGAGGATCAGGGCAATTATCTTTGAGTACTTAGACATTTAAGGGAAGATGAGAAAGATGAGAGGAATTAATCCATCGAAGTTAAAAAGGAGGAGCACCTGGGTGGCTCCATAGGTTGAGCATCTGACTCGGTTTTGGCTCACGTCATGATCATCTTGTGATTCATGGGATTGAGCACAGAGCCTGCTTGAGATTCTTTCTCTCCCTCTCTCTCTGCCCCTCCCCCAATCACACACACATATGCTCCCTCCCTCTCTCTCTCTCAAATAAATAAACATTTTTTAAAAAGCCAGAAAAGGAAAGAACCTTCCAGCAGAACAATGGGACCAATGGCCCTGAGGTGGAAAAAAATCAGTATTCAATTCTTTACCTGCTCAATTCCAAATAAATTCAGCTCTATCCAGTGATACCATACATGAAATAAAATTCTGTAGCTCTCATTTTCTCTACTTAAAGCATCAAGTAATAATCACCCTCATTATCTCAACTGCTTCTGGCTGTCAGAGAGAATGAACTCTCTAGCCTTTGTGTCCCTTCAGAGCAGAGGCCACCAAAGTGATAATGACACAGAATGAAGAAAAGCCGTATCAGCCTTGAGAATGATAAAACAAAACACTCATACATACAGCTGTCCATCCTTCCGGGTATAGAAGCTGACTGATTTGATGGTAGCCACGACCACCACCATACAGAGGGTCACCGGGACAAAGAGCATGATCACATGTTTGGCGCCATATTTCAACGTCAGCTCTTCATCTTCTTCTTCATCTTGTTCCACCACCTGCCGTGAGTTACCCTGGGGTCGTCCATTAGATAGCTCAGGGTTGCCACGCCTCCGCCTTTCACTGCTATGCTCAAGCCGTTCTCTACTGTCATTCTAAAAGCACAAGAGGAACTATTTTCAGTAAGTCAGACTCCCCAGAATCAAGGTATTCTATATTAAACACAGAAAACATAACAATTAGACCTGAGATTAAGAAGAGGCCCATCATTACTTGAGTTCTGAAAGTCTGAGGCAAAAAGAATCAATTCACAAGAGATGTGCAGTTTAAAAGTCTAGATTTTATTCGCCACTGACCAGTGAAGGAACCCAGGTCCTCTCTCTCACCTGGCTCTTAGTTTACCTCATTCTCACCTTCCATTCTCAACCTAAAGCAATTGTACTCATCCTCTGAGGTTTGGCTTAAAAACTGACACCTGTGTGAAAACTTTTATTTGCTAATGCTTACAAGCACAGTAATCTCACCTTTCTCAAAATTATAAAGTGCTTTCTATCTGAGGTTTCTTTCATACCAGTTTTACAAGGAACTGTCTCACCTTCTTAATTTTAAGTAAGCTCTACACCAAATGTGGGGCTCGAACTCGTGACCCGGAGATCCAGAGTAGCATGCTCCACCGCTGAGCTAGGCAGGCACCCTTCACCTTCATTATTAATAAGATTTAAAATCCCTGTGCTGGGGGCACCTGGGTGGCTCAGTCCGTTGAGTGTCCGACTTTGACTCAAGTCATGATCTCATGTCTATGGGTTCAAACCCAGTATTGGGCTCTGTGCTGACAGTTCAGACCCTGAAGCCTGCTTTGGATTCTGTCTCCCTCTCTCTTTGCCCCACCCCTGCTGGCACTCTGTCTCTCAAAAAATAAAACGTTAAAAAAAGTTAAAAAATAAACAAAATCCTTATAGTGATATACAAGGGATCTATTTCTTACAATTTCATGTAAATCTACAATTCTCTCAAAAAATTTACTTAGGGGCATGTGGGTGGCTCAGTCAGCTGGGCGTCTGACTTTGGCTCACGTAATGATCTTATGGTTTATGAGTTACAGCCCTGCATTGGGTTCTGTGCTGAGCTCAGAGCCTGGAGCCTGCTTCAGATTCTGTCTCCATCTCTCTCTGACTCTCCCCCACTTGTGTTCTCTCTCTCAAAATAAACATTTAAAAAAGTGTACAAAAATTATTTAAAGGATTCTTAAAAATCTTTAGAGAGAGATAAAATTAGGCCTTATACAATTCTGATACCCCTCACCTTGCCTGTATTAGAGGGAATAAATATTTGATGAATGACAGAATAAAACTAGAACCTTCCTTAGATTCTACTTTCCTCAGTCTCTTAATCCAAACACTATTTTCATCCTTGCCCTGGGTTTACCCTTTCTTACTCTTCAAGTTCAACTTCCTTTTTGTTATCATTGTTCATATATTTTTAAAATTTAAATTCAAGTCAGTTAACATACAGTGCAGTATTGGTTTCCGGAGTAGAAACCAGTGATTCATCACTTACATATAGCACCCAGAGCTCATCCCAACAGCACCCTCCTTAATACCCATCACCCATTTAGCCCATCCCCCCACAGACCTCCCCTCTAGTAACCCATTTCTTGTCTGTATTTAAGAGGCTAATATGGTTTGCCTCTCTCTCTGTTTTTATCACATTTTATTTTTCCTTCCCTTCCCTTATGTTCATCCATTTTGTTTCTTAAATTCCACATACTTGTCTTTCTCTGTCTTACTTCGCTTATCACTGTTCATATCTAAAACTCAGTTTTTGTAAAGGGGAGAGTGGATACCAAGAGTATTAACAACAGTAATAAAAATAATAAATAACAGGAGAAAAAGAACAACACTCCTCTTCCCAGATAAGTACAGAATAGGAGATGAAAGCAGACTGATAGTCACTGTTGCTGGTAAAACGTAATCTGCTTGGTTAAGCACCCTACTGTTGGTTTCAGATCAGGTCATGATCTCACGGCTCGTGGGTTCAACCCCCACATCAGGTTCTGTGATGGTAGTTTGGAGCCTGCTTGGGATTCTCTCTCTCTCTCTCTCTCTCTCTCTCTCTCTCTCTCTCTCTCTGTCTCTCTCTCTGCCCCTCCCCTACCCACACTGTGTCAGTCTCTCTCCAAATATACAAATACACTTTAAAAAAAAAGAACAACAACAACAACAACAGGTTCTCTTAGGGGCACCTAGGTGGCTCAGTCTGTTGAGTGACCAACTCTTGATTTTGGCTCAGGTCATGATCTTACAGTCATGGGATTGATCTCATGGGTGTGGGATTGAGCCCCATGTGTGGAGCCTGCTTAAGATCCTCCCTCTCCCTCTTTCTCTGCCCCTTCCCTGCTTGCACATATGTGCACGTGTGCGCACTCTCTCTCTCTCTCAAAATAAAGAACAGGTTCTCTTGGGAAAATCATGTGAGAACATGCCACTTTTACCTTGTTTTTGACTAAGTATTACTGTTATTCATTAAAAATACATTATAATCTTAATAACAGCTTAACATTATTACAATGTACTGGAGATTGTGATATGTGCTTTATGTTAAATTCTCACAGCGTCTCGTCATCACCACTTTATAGACAGGGGAATGGCCATAGCTAGGAAGCATTACAGAGAGGGTTTGAACCCAGGCATGCCCAACTACAGATATCAAGCTCTTTTAAATTTTTTTTTTATTTTCATTTTTGAGAGAGAGAGAGAGAGAGAAAGAGAGAGAGCGCGTGCGCGCGCCTGAGTGGGCAGGGGCAGAGAGACAGAGACATAGAATCTGAAGCAGGCTCCAGGCTCTGAGCAAACAGCACAGAGCCCAGCATGGGGCTTGAATCCATGAGCCACGAGATCATGACCTGGCCCAAGTCAGACGCCCAATGGACTGAGCCACCCAGGAGCCCCCCAGAAAACAAGCTCTTAACCACCTCTCAATGTGCTGTTCACAAGACAACATGGGAGCTCTGCAGACTCAGTGTGGGCTGAGTTCTCTTTTACTTCATTTGGATATATTCATCCCTTAAGTAATTATCAAAATTCTATATTCTAGGTACTATACTGTGGCAATACTGAAATTAAAAAGATCTAGATGCTGTCCTCAAAAAGATCATAAAGTTAGCTTTAATACAGGATAACTATTACAAAAGAGACATGAACAAAGTGCTGCAGGACTGATCATTCCATGTGGTCAAGAAAGGCAAGGTAAATATACAATTCCTGAGCAGAAGAGTGACTGTGGTGAATGGAAGGTGAATGGGCTCCAAGCAGACATGACTGTGGGACTGAGGTGTGAAGTTAAAGAGCAAGGCCTACACAGAAAACCAGTGAGTACGCCTGAGCTGGCTGGGAAACAGTCTGTCAGGGCTGCTTGCAGGAAAAGGTTAGGAACAGGTTGTAAAGAACCTCATTTGCCATGCCCAAGGTCTTTAGACTTTGTCCTGTAGACAATAAAAAGTCATAAAAATTGCTGGGGTGCCTGGGCAACTCAGTCAGTTAAGTGTCAACTTCAGCTCAGGTCATGATCTCACGGTTTGTGCGTTTGAGCCCCACGCAGGGCTCTGTGCTGACAACTGGGAGTCTGGAGACTGCCTCGGATTGTGTGTCTCCCTCTCTCTCTCTGCCCTTCCCTAGCTCTTGCTCTCTCTCTCTCTCTCTCTCTCCCCTGCTCTCTCAAAAATAAATAAATAAATAAAATTTATTTATTTATTTTTGGGTTTTTATTTTATTTTTAGGTTTAGGTTTTTTTCCTTTCATGTCTTTTATTTTTATTTATTTTTAATATATGAAATTTACTGTCAAATTGGTTTCCATACAACACCCAGTGCTCATCCCAAAAGATGCCCTCCTCAATGCCCATCACCCACCCTCCCCTCCCTCCCACCCCCCATCAACCACAAATAAATTTTTAAAAATTCATTTAAAAAGTCATAAAAATTGTTAAGGTTGAGGAAGCGACACATTAGATTATGTTTCATTTTGGAGAAACCTGGTAGAGTGATGACGAAAAACAGATGTATAAGAGGTATTTCAGAAGCAGAACTGACCAGGTTTTGTGGCAAATTCCATGTGGATGGTCAGGAAGGAGTCAAGGATGATCCTAGAGGTTTCTAGCATAAGGGACTAGGAAGGTGGTAATGGCACTAACAGAGCAAGGAACACAAGAAGATGGGCAGGCTGGAGGAAAGGTTTATGTGAGGCACCTGCAACCAGGCAGCAAAGTCCAAGGGTAGTTAAGAATACCAAGCCCAAGGGCACCTGGGTGACAATCAGTTGAATGTCTGACTCTTGATTTCGGCTCAGGTTTGAGTTCGAGCCCCTCATCAGGCTCTGCAATGACAGCGCAGAGGCTGCATGGGATTCTCTCTCTCCTCTCTGCCGCTACCTTGATCACACGCTCTCTCTCAAAATAAAAAAACTCAAAAAAAAAGTTAAAAAAAAATTCCAAGCTCAGAAGGGAGTTGGGGGAAGTCATTAGTTTCTATAGTTATGTAAATGGATGAAATCTCAGGGACAGTGTATAGATGGAAAGCAGGAACAGTATGGACTTGCTGGTCATTATGTAATGCAACAAGGTGGGGGGGGGGGGGACGGACAAAGGGGGATGACGACCAAGGAGAAAAGTGAATAACCTCTAAACTTCAGCAGCAGGTGATAGGAGAAAAACCAGCCAAAGAGATTAAGAGAATAGGGGGGAGCCTGGGCGGTTCAGTCAGTTAAGTGTTTGACTCTTGATTTCAGCTCAGGCCACGCTCGCACTACTGGTGGGTTTTCAAGCCCCACATGGGGCTCTGTGCTGGCAGTGCGGAGCCTGCTTGGGATTCTCTCCTGCTCCTCCTCTGCTCCTCCCCTGTTCATGCACACTCTGACTCTAGCTCTCTCAAAGTAAATAAGTATTAAAGAAAAAAAGAATGCTACATTAAAAAAAAAAAAAAAAAAAAAAGAATAGGGGAGAGGAACCCAGGAACCCAGAAATTCCAGGAACCAATACATCACAGAAGCCAAAGGAGAAGTACATTTCAGAGGTGTCATCAACAGTCAGGCTGTATGAGAAATGAAAAGCCACCGAATTTAGCAGCAGGAAGTTGGCCAATATTTTTACAAAAGTAATAAAG